TGGTTGCCAATGCTGTCTTGGAGGATTCCCTCCCATTTCTCTCGTAGAGCCTGGATTTGTGTCTCTATATCCTAGATCCCATACATCATCCCAGCGCATCCCACACATGTCCGATGGGTCTCAACCTGGAGGTGCAGGGCGTCCATCGCATAACTCATACATTCTCCTCTCACAAAAAAGCCTTTCTTACACTGTTAGCGGATGTTATCGTGCTGGAAAGTTGTCACATCAATTTAAGCAGGCAGGAAGAGCCTCTCTATCAAACCCAACAAATAGTGTATTGCTCTATACATCTGTGTCACACTTGCTGAAATCCAGCAGTTTGGTCTACTCCAAACTTCTTGACTCATAATGCTACTTCATTGCTAAAGAAGTCTTGGCTCAATTGCTAATGAGTCTACTTGAGGTGACCTAGTCCAGTTTCCAGCATGCCCATAGCATAAAGGTGTTGTTCCTTTGATCGGGGGGTAGATTGGTACTTTCCTGTATTTTTCTTTCATGGCTTTCACCAGATTCCCAATTCAACAGGTTAAAGCATGTAATCAGTTTGAAAAACATGTATTCGTTCTTCTTCTAAAAAACATGAAATGTATAAAATTATGTCGGTGGTGTCGGCTTTCAAAAAGTCACAACTTGTCAATTTCCCAAAAGGAGGAAAATAGAAGAGTTCTAATCTGTTGTTTTTTTTAATTTCTATATTTAGTTGTGTGTCAAGAACAGATACAATACAACCTCAAAGGGTTTCAACAATCTTCTTGAATTTGAAATGTTTTGTTGAATGGAAACAAACATCCTACATCCTCCAGATGGGAATAAGAAATGAACCCTTGTTTCTGGTGTAACACAGATGTGTAATCATTGAGGAATGTTTAGTGAGATTTTTGCCTCTTTACCATTTGAACAATGTTCCCATGTTCTGCAATGCTGTTTTTCTCACACAGTTTACTATTTAGTTTTAAATCCTGATTACACAACAAAGCATTATATGTGAGATAAAAACAAGCCATTATCCTTCAATTGACAGAAATAAACCAGAGGTAGAATATTCCGTACTGTACATCATATTATGCACATTGAGAGAAACCAACTAAAGCACTTAAAACAGAAGCATAAAAATAACAGATCAGAAAGATTCAGTGGCAGAAAGATGTTTAATGAATGCTAACATATTTAAATCAGTTCACAATAAGTTGTATAGACGGGCTTTTTTACAATAAAATAGAGATTTCTTTGATACGGTATTACAGTAGATACAATGTATTAAAGTTTAGCCATTGTGGTTTTGTAACTTAACATTTGCAGAGTCAGCTGCTGTGTTAGTGAGGCAGTAGTTCAAGGAACTGTAAATTCATTATGTAGTTTCTGTATCTGAATGTTTTGTTCTAATATCCTTCCTAAAGCAAATAAAGCATCAATTACTTATATATTGTTCAAAATGAATCCCTAAAATCTTAAGAGCTATATAATAATTAATACAATACTTGAACAATTGCTGCTAGTATTACTGTAGCTATAATCCAACTAAATGATGTCCCGAATAGAACACAAATTAAAATTTTACATTCAAAGAGTCTCAGGATGCAAGCCCCTATACATCTGCAAAGATACAGTCTTTAAGAAGATATTTAAAATGGATATGCTTTCCGCACATGGAAGTGATTATCATAATTAATTGACATGTTAATGTAGATACAGAGTCCTTTCTCAAGATTCTAGAAATGATTGGACCTGTTTACGTTATAATTACATTGGCTGGCTAAGCTCTTTATTTTTCAGGCAGAATTTGGCATTTGCGTTCCATCATGCTATTCAGCAGCTTTCTCAATTTTGTCCTGCTGTTTTACTGCAAGATGAATTGTTTCTGGTGAGCATACATTACTGCTAAGCTGTCGCCATTATGATTATAGCTGTAATGGCCTATTTTTGATCAAATAATACTGAAGGCATTTCACACTTCAGCTTCATGACTGCCTGGAGGAGAATGTAGTTTTCAGTGACCCAAAATTGCTAATTAAAATGGACAATGTCTTGCATAAATAAGATATGACTGAGTGACAGTTGACATAAAATGCATAAAATGCACCCCATCTTTGATCTTAGTGTGATCTGAATAATATAATACAATTTTAAAAAAGGAAAAATGAGACAATAAATAAATGTACACACATAAAGGTAATATACAGTACTCTTGGAAACAAAATCGGAACAATTAGAGTACAGCAGACTGGTTTTGCTAATGAATGCACTATTTTTATCATTTTTACAAAATGCATTGAATACCTAAAACATTTTCTCACACTCGTCAGGAAAAATTCTATTGCAGGCAAACAAAGCAACCTTCAGGAGGAGATCTATTTCAAGGAGTACTATTTAACTATAAAGTAAAAATTTAAATAAATTCTTCTTCAGATTTCTTTAAAACAAAACAAATAAATTTACAGTTAAGTAAAGGAACTACTTTTAGGCACACACATGTCCTCAAGAAACAATCTTTTAGAGTCACAACATGTCTCCATGTACTTTTGAACAAGCAGTACTTTTAAATTTGCCAGCGTTTCAAGTGAAACTTCCACATTCATGACTGTTCTAAAAATCTGTTTCCTACAATCTTTGTTTAAACCTACAACCCCATCAGACTGTTAAAATGTGAAATGTTCCATGATTCTTTAACTGCTAACTGCTACTCATTAACTGTTTGTATTCTAAAAATATTTGCTTTTCGCTGTAGCCTTAATGTTCATAAGTAATATAGATGTAACAAAAATATTGGTGAAACTAAAATTGACTGTAGGGCAGCTGCTTTTCAAGTTGTCTTGCACTTATTCATTTTTAAATCTTTATCCTAGAAATTGGTTCTAACCAAAGTCACTCTTTTTCTTAGTTTTACAGTTAATATACACCTCCTGTGACCCTGTGTAGATGGAAACACATCCACATTAACACAATTTGTAAGTACAGTATGAATATACTGTGTGTTACAATACATAAGAATGTGAAACCAGTTTTACCTGATGTAACCAGGAATTTCATGTTTTACATACATATTTAGGGAATCCATGAAACCTCTTATTAATTTATTTTTTAATTTAGTGAATTTTCCGGTTTTATATTATCAAAGAAACATGCAAAAGGCATTTTGAGCTTAGAGAAAAAAAACAAATTGTAGCATATACTTTGTGGTGCCGTTCACTTTTCACAAGGAGGAGATCTTGTTTTTACACTGCATTGCATTCTGTTCACAATTACATATTTAGGGCTTTTCGACAGAGACTGATGCTGGGTCTTTAGAAGATGTCATGACTTTCTCATAAATTCCAAGGGGTGACTTCTTTGACATTATTCAAAGGAACAATAGTTCCGTCTACATCTGTCACATTCTTTTTTTTGAGTGTGTTAGTTGTTTTTGTAATTTGAGCATCACTTCAAGTCAATCAGGGATTTCAACCTTGTCATTAACCACCATTCTTCTGTAACGTTCTTTATATGAAGTGCCCTACATTTGCACAGGATTTGATTGGTCCAGTAAGTTTCCACTGCAGATCTAATGGCAAAGGGACATCCTGTTCTTTGAGAACTCAATGCGACTGTTTGGATCAATGAGGTGGAAAGGACAACTTTGTAATGTTGGGAGGATTTATACTTGCTAGTAGGAGCAATCGCGTGAATAGGAAAGGAAAATCAACTTTTCTCAAGAATGAGCCCTTGAAGCTGGCATTAAAGAAACGTGCATATGTTGTGTTTATAAGGACATATGTTGTGCAGTATGAAGTATTTAGTGTTTGCTGTCTGGGAACAGTAGATAGTGTAAGCAGATGACATATGCTTTTGACTTCTGTAGTGCTAATTTCTGAGAAATTTTCATTTTCAAAAAGGACCTTTCAAGCTCTGAGCCTAGACCAAGTTAGATTTCACACTTATTTTCACTTACCAAATAGATATTGAAGCCCATAATAAGAAAACCATGATGTCATTTTAGTATATTATTTAAATGGGGGAATTAATTCATGTTTCTTCAGGAAAGTCCTCTGCAAACTTGACTTCACTTGAAGATGCTGCACAGGCGAAACATTTTCTAATATGTTTTAAAATATGTTACGTTTTCTGATATGTGCATTACTCACTTCATATTCTGTTAATTATGAAAGTGGGACTTTTTAAACAGTATATTGAAGAGTACTGTATTTTTTCAATAATACATATTTAGGATACATCCATTAGGGTGGGTTGTATAAGCAATAAAATAAATAGATTTTACACAGCATGTCTTGTGATACAATCTTTCTAAATGGTACCTGCTGTTAAAAATGAGAGTTATTTTAAGAACCTAACCTTTTCTGAACCTCTTTTTAAAGAAAACCTGGCATATTTTTATTTTGTAAAACATTACATTACATTCTATACACCATCTGAGAACTGTTGTATTAATTGCATTAATGTTTTTTCCATAGTGGAATGTAGAATTGTTCATTTTTTATATGCAAAGATATTTAAAACAGGATAAGAATGTATTTGTAAAAACATAAAGTAACAAATTAAGCTATATTAATTCTAGGATTATTATAATAAACGGTGCATCTTCACATCTTCTTTAAAGCCATTTAGAGCAGGCTATTTAGGGAAATAAAGAACACTCCACACCAGGATTTGTCAGTAATTTCCTTTTATTGCGGGCGAAGACGTCTACCTACTACAAATAGAGCAAGCAGACTGGTGACTGATAAGACACATTTTCTGTGCATTTAATTAAATGATGTCTGAATTTTTATTTCCCATGGTTAAAGTAGTAAATTATAAGTGTGTTCACAAGCTAGAAAATGTGCTGACATAAAATAAATTAATATCTTGCTCAATGAAAATGCATTTTAATGGTCTTCTGTGGCCTTTGCTGTACTGGAATTATTATTATTATTATTATTATTATTATTATTATTATTATTCAAATACATTTTTTTTACAATTATTATGGCTATTTCTGGTTAGTCAGGTTTCAATGGCTCAGATTTCCCAGAAAAGGCTCTTTTTCCATATGTCACTAATGAGTCATTGTGTCTGTGTTGATGTCACTGAACTGTGTTAACGGTTTTTTAGATTGCAAGCCCTTTAATTTGAAATCTACAGAAGACAGTAGATATGACCTTCAGATAATAACATTATGATCCAGTGAAATCATAACAGACACCTCAAGTGGCGTTTTTACCAAAATGTCCAGACAATATTACGTCTCATCTCTAACCTTTGTGACTTACCTTTCTTGGATTGCCTGCTGAGAAGGTTAAAGATCATTGCATTCTTCATTGTCAGTTTATACTCCAGGGAATTGTGATCAAATGACTCCTACATGTACAAAACAGGAGTGCAATATTTAAAGTGTTTACAGATAGACAAAGACCGTTAGTTATGCATTCAGAAATCTAATGTACAATAGTTTAGCATAGTTTACCAACTCATTTAATATTAATATAACATATATTACAACAGAAGGAAGAAAAGGGATAACCAAATTAGATTTTGTAAATTGAATCTCCATTTCTTTGCATGCAGTGCTGTGTTTATTCGGTTTTGGTTTTTTTAGAGGAGGTTTATTAAATGATTATAGGTTTAAGTGACTGGGTATAAATATTTCAGAAATTGTCATTCTAACAGTAAATGTCCCACACAGTTCACATAAAAAGATATGTGGATTTTACAAATATGAAGAATGTTTCCTTGGTCATTTCTTGTTTTTTTTTTCTTACTCACCTTTCTTGTATTTTTATTAAATATTTGCTAGAAGGTCATATCTAATAAATTCTAATAAATAAGTGATCAAAGCAATGTAATTTAGGACCTGGACTCATGTTTCTAGACAATATTAGCATATAATTGATTTTGTTCAAACGAAAGACCTCCAGATTTCTGAACAAGACTCTAAGGAGTTGAATTCATTATGACTGTAAAATTCTTTTGTCTTAAGCTCTTCCAGCAAAACAATAAAAATACAGAACTATTCTGAGTATTTAAAATGTTGCATAAAGGTTCAGGCTTAGAAAAAAAACTCAACAGCTTGACAACCTCTTAAAGCAGTTCCCATTGTGCAACTTTGATCCATAATCAGGAACAAAACTCTTTCATTTCCTATTAATATATTAAGAATTAATGCATTTATAAATTATGCAATAATTTAGAAGACATTTTTTATTTATAAATACAAATAGCGACACTGGCTGAGAAACAACAGTTGAAATTTTCAACGTATAAATTGTGAAGAGCAGAAAGAATTTATCAGGTTCCCCAGTAAGAATATGATTGCTTCCTCATTCAAATAAAATAAATTTAAGTACATGACAGTAATATATTCACAACCTACAGGTTTCTAATAATAGGGCTATTACTGGTAATTTTAAAGGTTATTTAAAATACTGAAACAACCACTCAGTGTAATTTGTTTTTAATTCAATACAGGTTAATAACATAATATTAGGAGACCATTGTCTTTATTACAGTTATTAGCTACTTATTTAAAGCTTTTGAGAGAGGCATAGCATGAAGAACTCCAAATTCAATTATGTGTAAAACCTAAGGCCACTTTTACTGTGAAGGCACTGTTTGCAGCTAAGAGAGAAATTTGTGTCATTGAAATTAAATGCTTTTGTGGTGCTGGAAGGTTCTTGTTTTTAATGGAATTACAGAGTGTGGTGTACTGAGATGATTAAAATCTGTATTCCCAGAATGTGGCAGGCAAAAATCAATAACTGCAAGCACAGCTTTGCTGCCTGATGTGTATCCTAGGGTTGCCATGAACTAATAGAAAAATAATAATTAAAACCAAATCACCACATTAATTTGTTTTCCATCAGTCTCTTGAGAGATCATCTTTACTAGTTCTTTTGGAAGCTCATTATACTTTATAATCAAGACTCTTTAAAAATCCCTTTTAAGGAGACAGCCTGTTTGCCCTTCCCCCAATGTGCTTGCATTGCAGTCATTGTACTTGCACTTATTATGTTACAAATGACCGAGGTAAGGCTGACATTCTCATTGCATGCAAAAGACCCAGCCTGCAAAGCTTTTTCTAATGAAGCAGCTTTGTGCAATCTCCCTGTGTGTTAATACTAATGAAGATTCCCCAATACAATTAAAGCCACAGAGCATGGTCGCAGAGGAAACAAAACACAAAATATTTTTTCTACAATTTTTTGATGACCCAGTGAATCTAATTTCAACCAGCTCATGTGAAACTGGTGTTTCGTTCTCAGATTTGACCCCGTCTCTTAACTTAAAGGAGGCAAAGAAAAAAATCAATGAACTCACGAGACAGGGAACAAGCATATAAGCCTGTTTTAAATTCCGAAAGCTGAATAAGGATTTTTACCCCCTTAATTTATGAGCGACTTTGTTTCTAAATTACTGTATCCAATTACTTATAGTGCATGTGCGATTTGGTTAAAGAAAGAGCACTGTACTACAATTAAACAGCAATTGTTTTCATCAACATTTAGAACATAAAAGCTTTACATTTACCATTTTAGGGGAGTTAAGATTATATCTACCGATCTTCTAACTTTGTTAAGAGCTTTTCAGCATAAAATTGAAATCATGTCAGCATGCAGAATGTATCTAGCTTATTTATTAAATTTTCTTTAATTCAATGTATTTACAAATGACTGATTAGATTAAATGAAATGTGGTTATTTTAAAAGCTGCACAGAATCCACAATTCCTTTTTTCAGTTATTCATCTACAATATTTATGAACAGTGAACAGTATACAGTATGCAATTAAGTCATGTTATTTTCTAGTTAATGTAATTTCATTATTGATGTTTCATAACTCTTCTTTGGATTATTCAGTATAAATACTGTGATTTTATGTTTGAACAATAGCTGTTGTACATTATGTTACTTTTTGTTGTTGTCCAGATTAAACATAAAAATCCAGGTTGTATTCTAGGCTGGGTCACAGGATCTCTGTTCAGCCTGTTGCTGATTGTTTGCTCACAAAAACAGTAGGGTTTGCTGTAGTGATCTTACTATGAAATGAAGGATAATACTAGAATTCCCGAATTGATTTAATAGAGCAAATCGAAAAAATAAAGTTCAGTCAAATGATCAATGAATCTCACCATCAACGCAAGACTTAAATTTCTTCTTAAATCTTCCTTATGGTGAAACTGAACATGAAAGATGGATGGCATTCATTTATTCTTCTCTCAAGTCCAACACTGCCTTCCACATACTGTAAACACCTATTTAGAATTAAACATCATTGCCCAGCATGGTCCTGCCAAAAATGAGAAAGAAACCAGGTCAGATTAAACTCAGAATCATTCATCTCAGTCTGGCTTGTTTATTTACCTTTATTTGTTTATCTTTTAATTGTATTTCTTTTATTTATATATCAGTGCATTCATTGATGATAATGTACCTCGTAAATCATTATCTTTTCATATGTTTATCAACAATTTATTTTGAGGAACATTTGAATTATATCCACACAACAGATTTATGTTTTTTTTCTAAGAATGAAAAACACAGAGGGCAATGCTTATTAATATATTTGGCTGATGCTTTTCATCCAAAGCAAATTATATTTGGACTCACTTATACACCTGGGCTGGCTCCTGAAGCAATCTTAGTGCATTGCTCAGTGTGCAACACTAGTGCCTATCCAGAATTTGGAACTCAAATACTTTCAATTAAGAGTTCAGATCCCTAACCACTACTAGGCGGTATGAGACAACTGAAAACTGCAAATCCCCATCATTATTTCAAAATTCTGAGGAAAACAGATACAGAAACCTTTCCTAGAGAACCTGGCTCATTTTAACAGTGTCACATATTAGCCTCCGCCCCTAAGTCTCTCCTACTACATAATTATTGCACAGTCAGTGCCCATCTCCATCCCCCCTATCAGTAGTACTTCATCAAGCAGCTTGATTACCATTTTAATTGGCTTTCTAACCATAATTTAAATGCAGGTGACTTAAAAGTCAGACATTTTATATTATTTCTGACTTTTTACATATTTATTTTTTTCCAATCCTCTCATGTTTAATAACAATATACGTAATTTCACAATTGCTACAGATACATGACAACAGAACTTCGTCGTAGTCTTATCCCAAGATATCATATTTAATGTTCTGCTTCAAATCTTTTTTTTAGAAAAAAAATCACTATCCTGTGCGACCCCCCTCCCCCATCCCCATTATTTATACCACTTTCTAATAAACCGAAACACAACTTTCACAAAACTGAACCCATGCAGTGGTTTACGTATTGGAATATTCCCATTTTTCAGCTTTGATTTTTTAAATATTTTTTTTCTCGAATTGAACTGAACCTGAAAAGCAAAGTGTTACCTAAACGTGTTGCTGCTGAAGATCATAAACAATACAATTGTTTCACGAGCAATAATCAGAGTGAAAAAAACACACGTAAGCCACAGGGCACGATGCTATTATTAATAATACCAGGCAGTGTTGTTGTTTATTAATCATAAATGTAAGTTTTCATTGTTAGAGAGCCTGTGGGCTGACGTCACTTTGGTTCCTTGAAGTGAAGCTGAATAAACCTTGAGAAGAGTCTCCTTCAATCTGCTGTTAGTAACTAACACACACACACTGAGACTCAATTACTGCCCAATTCCCTTCTTTATCATCTCCCGCTACCGGTCTCTAACAATAACACAAAATCGAGAAGGAAAAGAAACATTACTTGAAATAATACTTGAAAGCAAGTCGAGGAGGGAAATACGTACAAGTGTCTAAACTAAGGTAAGTTTAACCACTTTGTGTTTTAAAGGTGGGTAGTTAGGGTTATGTATCGGTGAAAGCGTTCAGTTATTTCTCTGGATTGTACGCTGTAGATCTCTTTACTTTCCTTGTCCTTCTATACGTGTGCTCCAGGTTAACACCAAGTTGTTACAAAGATAAGGCGATCGTTCACACGCACCTTTCTTTTAACGTTGTGATAGTTTTAAATGAAAAACTTTGAGAATGTAAGAAGTCGGTCTTGTTGTCGCTTTTGATCAAGCTGGTTAAGACTTGGGCTTTTTGAGTCTCTCAGAGCGAATCTCGTCTTTGTGTCCTCACTCGTGCGGTTAAACTGTTCCTTTTTCAAACCTGTTTCAAATGAAATCCTCAGAATGTGAGCAGATTCAGGGGTGATTGTGGTTCCCCTTTCTTTGCCACTTAATTCCGTATGTTACCGTGTCCGTTGTAAGGTTTATTTTTTATGAAAACAGCGATGCGGGAGAGTCAGTAGAAGGTAAGGGAGCTGAGTGCCTTTGGTCTGTTTAATATGTCTGTCTCAGATGATGGCAAAAATCTAACAGCTCTTCATTGAGCAAACAACATTTCTAAACCACAAATTATACATTTTATAGTATGTCTCTACTTTAGATTTGCAGCTGTGCTTTAAAATGTAATATTTTTCTTATTTTAGAGGAAATCCCCATGGTTTTAGAGAGCAGTCGGCTGCCGAGTTCGTGGCTTTCTTTTTCTCTTATCTTTTGTGTTGCTTCCTTATAAAGAGAAGCAGCTGCAGCCTGGCTGAGTTGTTGAAATTTATCCCTTTGTGTATATTACAATATCCTCCATTTTTCTGCCCTCTAAACAACAAGCCTCTCGCCATCTTGGGTAATTTTAATTCCCTGATCTTTTTCACTTTTTCAAGAAAACTAATCCATACCCCTAAAGGCTGAAAGTTATGAAATGTTTGAAGGGGCGATGGTGACGTCATGTGAAGTTTAAGTAAAATTATTCGTGGGAGCGTATTGAATTTTATTGTTTTTTGTTGCTTTTATCACTTCAGTCGTGTAAATCCCATTGTAACAAATTCATTTGTGTATTTCTTTGAAGCAAAAAAGACAACATATTGTGAGATGACTTAGCATTAATATTTAAGATTTTTGTGCGTTTGTGACAGGTGGGGAAAGTGGTACTACAACAGCAGTAGTGTTCTTACAGTGCAGCTGATGACATGGAAAAGATATATCTTAAATTAGCAGAAGCAAATACGTTTTGTAATTGAATTACCGATACTTAAATATATCATGTAAATATAATAATTGGTCATTGTTACGTAGAACTTTTGATGTGGACTACGTGACGAACTAAGGTATTCAAGCTCCATTACAAACTTTTACTAATATGTATGTAACAGTAGTGTTTTTAAAACATTAGACCCTCTTAGAAATTACCTTTTAATTTAGCAGAGAGCGTTCTTTGTTTTGGCCATGCTTTAAACACAATACTAATGTGTTGTTGAAACAGAAATAAAGAAAAAAAAGCAACTGAAACTAAGAACCTGACTGATTTTATGGTTACTGAACTGAGAAGCGGAGGGGTACAGTTTCTGTTGTATTCTGAGTGACTTTAATTAAAAATAGTAACCTCTAGCTAGGGGTTCTTATGTCATCCTATCCTCAAGTGATACAAGAAAAGGAACTGTTCTTCTAATTTACCTGCGAACAATAGACATTTTTATTTCAAAAAGCCTATTGGTCACATGGGAAAGTTAATGGGTGGAAAATCTAAAGTTTCTATTAATATGACTAACACCTGGGATACAGTGCTTGCCACACACTTTTGATTGGTGTGTGGTTTTTGTGAACCTACTATAGTTCTTTTTTTTAACTTGAATACATCTGGGAGAACTGGTTTATTTTTAAAAAGACGTGAGAGAGACCTATTTTTTTCTTAAATAGTATAGATTTCAGGACATATTTCAGCTAGAGGACTAGCAAGGCCTTTGAAGGCAGTGAAAATGCCTATATTCTAAGATCTTAGAACTAGTAACAAAGAAATGCCATATTCATCAGAGAAGAGAAGGTGCACTTATTCACGTTTTCAGGAGGTGAATGAGAAGAAAATCTTGTATATAGCTTAGAAATTATGAAAAAAAGTAGGTGTATTCTGAGAATACTTTCCCTGTAAAAAAAAAAAGTACAGAGGTCATATCTGGACATCTCCTTAACTGCCCCCTGTTAGTATTCAGGAATACAAATTCTTTGTGTGTGCTCAACATATGCAATATAATACAATATGAGTTAAATAAGTACAGTTTAATAAAAGATTCATGTTGTTATTTTAAAAGCCTCTTATTTTTATTGTTGGGTTATGCCATTTCTCATATATTGTTTTTTTGCTGGATATGTTGACATGCATGAATCATAGGTCATGGATCATAAGGTACCCTGTTTGATGCTTTGCTTAAAGTCTAAAGACGCATGACCTTTGTGTGTGAATCATGTTGACCTTCAGGAATGTTGAAAAAGATTTGAAGTTGGATTGATGTATGGCTACCATAGTTCAGATTTAGGCCTAAATTTGGACAGCATTTTTGGATCCATTCAGCATTGTTAATTAAAGGCCTGTGCCTAAGTACATGAAGTGTGCCAAGAAGCTTTTATTTATCCCCCCCCCCAGCTCTATTCCTAATAATCATTGTTTTGCCAATTGGTATTAAAGGTAATAGGCTGTAATTAACAAAAGAGTAATTGCCTGGTTAGTTAGTGTGCTGTTCTTTTATTGACAATTTAACAATCTTTTAAAATGGAGCACTAAAGGAGCACATGAGCTGTCTTCCAGGTTGTCAAGAAAAGTGAAAGATTTGACGGGATATTTTGTAGTGCTACTGAAATACAGCTTCTCAGCCCACCCTGCGTTTGAAGACCGTGTCAAGGCGTTGGAGTTCGGTGTACAGTGTGAGCGAGCCCATTTCTGAAATGAAAAGCCCAAGTCCCAAAAGAACGAAGGAAGATACCGTGATGAGACGTGGCAGAAGTGTGAGGCAGAAGGACATTTTTGATGTGATTCAGCAGTTCTTTTTTTACTAACAGTGTTTGGTAGCTGTAGCTTCTTATTCAGTTCCCCTTGGAAGTTTGTAGGCACAGAAGCATTTTAACAGAGGATCCTACTCAAGATGCTAATCACACTGCCTCCTATTTCTTTGTTTGGATATTTACAGCAAAGCTGCAATGTAAAGGAGCAGATGTTTTGCCAAACATCCTGATGTGCTGCTTTTTCTTATGGGAGTGCGTTACTGTTCTTTCTGATGCATCGACTTGACAGCTGCTTGATTTCATGGAGCTGCTAAGAAGCCATTAGTGGTATCAATGAATTGAAACGGAACAGTCACTCCCAGCTTGAACTGCTATTGCAAATGTCTATTGTTGCTATTTTTTTGTTTATCTGAAAACACAGAAGAAGGCCTTTACAATACACTTGCCTTATATTACCTTTATGCAGTTGACAGAAACATTATCTGTCAGGGCCTGTTTTTGATGTTGATTTAAAAGCAGTAACTTATTTTCACAAGCAAATTGAATCCAGAAATTAATACAAACGTGGATGAGACAACTCCCTCTTTAGTAACCCCTAGACATTGTTGTCTGGAATGCGAAAATAATACTTTTCCGGGATGACGAGTTCTTGTTTTCTCTGGAGAAAAGAAAAATAGCACCCAAGCGTTCAGGAATTAAAGGTAGACTTGGTTAAACCCTATTTGCATGTCTGCTGAAGTTGTGCAAAACAGTTGCCATTGACTAAGCTGATTAGTAGAAATTAGGATTTGGAAGAACCTTGTGTCTCAGGATGCTGAAACTGATGAAACCTGGGAGGCTTTGCACAGACAATCCCATATGTGCATTTGCTAGTGTGATTAATCCCCAAGATTTAAATGGAGGTTAGTACAAGGTTTGTTCTTGGGTTTTTGTACATAACTATGTTAAAATTGGAATGCCTATTTGTTTACGGTCCAGGATTTGTGGAGTTAATCAAATATAACACTTTACCCTAAATGTTTTTCCAAGGTGTGAGTCCCAAACGTTGAAAACTGTACATGTGCTGTTCAAGGAACTGTAACACTATAGAGTTACAGTATATTACAAGCAATTACACATGTAGCTTAGTTATAGGCTTATGTGGACTTGTGTGATTCAAATTGCTTTGTGGCTGCATGCTTAACAAGCTTTATTTCTTGTTTCACTTTGTCTGCAATGGAAGAAACACACATTTGGGTTGTTAGGGGCAGAAGTTATGTAAATGACTTCAAATATAATTTGCAAAGTCAGTGATTTAGGATTGAATGTAAATTTGTTGACTCCAGGCAATCTTGCCAAAATCATGTTTTCTGATAGTCTACATTTAAAAAAATTACATAAAATATTAGCCTCTTCGTCATGTGAATTAAAACCCCATATTATTATTAAAAAATGTGTTTTTTGTTGTTTTATTTTTTGTCTTTAAACACAATCATTCATATGGTGTTTATTGTAAATGTGTGTCCCGTGTTCCTGGCATTCTGCATTACAAACACTCAACTGAAATTGATTTGTTTCTGTAAATACTTAATTGATAGTAATGAAGTATTGCCTGCAATTTAACTAAAACCAAAGTAATAAAACAGTACACTGTTTAAGGTCTATCATTTAAACGACTGTAACAGAATGGGAAGTGAGATAAATCAGATTACAGTCTAGATGCGTTATGCATGCATCCAGTAACTGCCAATGAATCAACCAATAACCAGATACAAAGCTAGAAGGTCACTGCATTTACCTCATATTTATTCAGAGCATTATGTCCTTGAGAATTGTCTTAGAATAAAGGAACTATAAAATATTGCCGCAAATCACGGGCTTGCATAGCAAATTATTTAACATTATGAAAAGTAGCACTACTGCATTTTAATATTTTAATATTACAGGTTATTGTTCTTCAAGGATGGAAAAATATTAGCCCCAGGTTACCAAAATATTGCTTCAAACAGCATTTTTAAATGTTACTCCTGTAGCTCAGAGCTGTGATTAACAGAGTTGATTTTATGTGTAATTATAAAATTTTATGTTTTGGATTACCGAGTATCTTTCTTATTCCAAATGTCTTTTTGCGACTCTGTTTTCCTAAAAACCACATTCAAAAGCAAACAGTCTCTAAGGGGATAAAAGAAGGATACATATTTTCACGTGTTTTCAGGCTAAAGTACACTGTGATCATAGTTTAAAATTATCGTGATTGCTTTAGAATTCTATACATG